TGGCCATATCATCAGTAAATCATGGTTTTCAGACAAACTGGCCATCGGTGGATTCAGGAATGGAAGTGTAATATTATATTAGGTTATATGAAAACTTCAGGAATATTCTGGCAGCAGATCACAAAAGAAGAGAGGTCAATAGCTGAGTTCTACACTTAAGTTACTGCTGTGAACTAATAATTTCTTTGGGTTTGTATAACTTGCTTCCCAACTGTCAGACCTTCTGCTCTTAGAATAGAAGGTCTGCTGCTGAAAAAGTAGCTGAAAGTTTCTCTTTGCGGAGTAAGCAGAAACACACAGGTTCTGTCTGCAACCTTGCCACCCCCTATAGCATTGTGAATGATGCTATGTAGTGTGAGATGTGTTTATTGCTGGTTTTTTTTATTAAATCACTTTTTTGACCCTTCACTTAGCAAAAGTTACTCCTTGATACAACAGTACTTGTGTGCTTATTATGTCAATGTCCCTTTAACACTTACTAATCTACAGATAATTTTATATATCTGTCTCTGTTTACATAAAAAATAAACACTGTTAACTTACTTTCTGTAATGTCAGGAAGCTAAGACTGTTTAAATGTGTTAGGGAATTCGATCCATAATGCTAGTCCTGAAATATGTTCTGCATGTCTTTACAGCTTTCAGTAATGCTATTTTTACGTCATTAATTAGCTTGAGTTGAAAGGCACTAAAATAACACAGACATACAGAATTTTCAAATGTTTTACTTTCAATCAGTAAATTATATTCAAATGCCAACACAAATCATAACATTTACTGTATGTGAAAACAGATTGAACAGTTGGTTCCATCTAACATTTAAATAATATTTATCATAAAGATATTTCTCGATTAAGCACCTATAAGTTTTCAGATGCCTTCATGTTTTTCATAGTCATAGATGTTGGTTTTAGAAGACAGTCTCATTGTTCAAAATGACAGGAGACCCCAGTAACCTTTGAGCTACTGACTTCATACTACCTTGTACTAATTCTCTTAGTGGCTACTAGAATTGATTGTAATGGGAGGATTGCCTTGCACTGTCATTATACAAAAACAGAAGTACTTCTAGGCAGATTCCTGACTGGATTCATGTGATTTAATATGCATTTTTTGATTACTGTCTAACCTTCTACAACCTTTACTGTCTGTCTTTCGCCATTAAAAATTCATCTCCCAGTCTATCAGGTGAAATCATAGTCTGAATAGATCTGTATTATCTCATCTTGACCTATTTTAAATCAGTACAGACCAATTTGTGCAATAATTTCAGTACCATGCATCTTCACTGGGATGAAAAGTCCCTAAACATATTCTAGAATTTATCAACCCATTCATTAATATAATTTTTCCTCATATAACATAACCCTGAGCTAGCATGTTTCAATGGCAAATAGCATCCTAGTGAACGGATTGGTGGGTTGATCATCTCTGCTACAGAATATGAAGTTTATTCACATAAATCCACGAGTTAAAGTGGAGTGCTGAGGCAGGTACTGTACTGAGGCGTGATACAGATTTAGAAACAAAGCCAAATGTATACACTGTCAGTAAATATACCTGACATTTTTTGTGTCTTAAAGACTTTACTTAAGCATAACTTAACATTCTGCAGCCCAGCTTCTCTGAAAAACAGTTGTGTTTGTGATAATGTCTGGATACTGTTCTCTGCTTCTTACGACTTCTGACGACTTTCTACTTTATATCCATTAAAAAATGTTCTGAATGTTCTTGAAAAGTCGAACAAAACTTATTGGTAAGTTTCTGTGCGAGAGGAAATTAAATTGTTTATTTCACTATTTTAAAGGCTATTTTGCTGCTTTCCTTTTTACATGTCAAAATGGGAACAAAAATCTGAAGTAATAAGTGCTTTTAGAAGAAAAAAAATGATATATTTGAAGTTCTTCAACATTCAAAGTCCTACCTTTTGCATGCTGAAGTTGTTAGAAAGGATTTTTTAACTTTTTAATAACTCACGTTGTAAGACTTCAGTTTTTCTGTGTATATATGGCTGACTTGATACATGGAACTTTAAGTGGGATTCTTTCTCTACTCTTAGGCCCTCAGTTTATGCAGAATGTACAAATAATACTTTAGAAGTTTTGGCCACAGTATAGAAGTATGACTTTATTCTGAAACAAAAAGGAAGAGAAAATTAATCAGAGTAGCACTGCATACAGAGAGCTTAGAAGTAGATGGAGATAGTCAGGTCAGTCCACCACATTAGTGTAGCTGTGTTATTTCTGGGACCTGTGGTGATATTAAACAGTATTGTGCAGGGTAGATATATCAAAGTGGTTAGATGGCAGGTCAGGTACCCCTGATGATTGTGCTGTGCTCCATATCCTTGGATTCAATTCTAAAAGTCTTTCTCTTAAACTAAAGGAGGGTAATTAAAAGAGGGAACAATATTATTCTATTTCACCTTGTAGTGGGTTGACCCTGGCTGGATGCCGGGCACCCACCAAAGCCACTTTATCACTGCCCTACACAAGTGGATGGGGGAGAGAAAATGCATTGAAAAGTTCATGGGTTGAGATAAGGACCAGGAGAGATCACTCATCAAATAACATCACAGGGAAAACAAAATCAGTTTAGGGACATTATTGAATTTGTTAGTAACAAAATCAGAGCAGGATAATGAGAAGAAAAATAAATCTTAAAAACACCTTACCCTGCCCTCTCTCCTTCCCAACCTCTACCTCCTCCCCTGCAGTGGTGCAGGGAGATGGGGAATAGGGGTTGCAGGCAGTTCATCACAGGTCATTTATGCCTCTTTCTCCTGCCCCCTGCTCGGCTGTGGGGTCCCTCCCACAGGATCGAGTCCAAACTTCTCCAACATGATTCCATCCCACAGGCAACAGTTCTCCACAAACTGCTGCAGTGTGGATCACTTTTTCACAGTGTACAGTCCTTCAGGCACAGCCTGCTCCAGTGTGAGTCCCCCTCAGGATCACAAGTTCTACCAGGAAAACTGCTCCAGCATGGGCTTCTCTCTCCATGGGTCTGCAGGTCCCCGCCAGGAACCTGGGCCAGCACAGGTTTCCTATGGGTTCACAGCCTACTTTCAGGCATCCACCTGCTCCGGCTGCAAGTGGATCTCTGCTCCTCCATGGTCCTGCATGGGTTGCAGGGGGACAGCCTGTTTCACCATGGTCTGCACCATGGGCTGCAGGGGAATCCCAGCTCTGGCACCTGGAGCATCTCCTCCCCTCCTTCTCTACTGACCTTGGTGTCTGCAGAGCTGTTCCTTTAACATGTTCCTTTCACTCCACTCTTCTCTGTCCGCAATTACATCTGCATAGTAACTTTTTTTTAACTTCTTAAATACATTATCATTCCTGATGGGCTCAGCCTTCACCAGTGGCAGGTCCATCCTGGACCTGGCTGGCAGGGGGTCTGTCGGACATGGGGGAGGCCTGGAGCCCCCTGCTACCAAAACCTGGCCACACAAACCCTGTAATTACACACCTGTAATGGGAGGGGAAATTAAAGAGGAATAAGGTGACACAAGTTAATGGCTGATTCTGATTATTTGTGCTGACCCTTGCTGATTGCAAGGGTTGGTAAAGGAAGGTATCTTTGTGGCAACATAGAAATCCCACAAGTTTGAATTCCGAGATGTAGTCTTGGTTCAGGAGACCATTTTTATCTGATTCTTGTCATACAACATTTTTTTGAGTACACATGCCTCTTTATCATGCATTTTTCTTAGTTCCCTATCAAATTATCAGAAAAAAATTGTTCCATTACACAAGAGAAAAGCACAAATACAAGTTTTATAAAAATATCAGTTCACAGTATATGCAAATGTATGTATAAATTGTGCCTAAGTCTTTCATGGATAGAATCAAAGTATCAAGAGAGACTTCAGCAACGACTAAATAATCAAATGCTTACATGCTTGCAGTTGTACAGACATTGATAGTTGTTGGCATAGTGACGTTTCAATCTTACTCTAAAATACAGATAGGTGTTTCACAGTGTTGTTCAATTTAATGAAGTGCTGAAGGCTGTGTCAACAAATATATTGGATTGCTACATAATAAAGGAAAAGTAAGCTGAACTGGAGATCTGTTTTTAAGAGTGTCACTGTGAAGCTCTGCATACTTAGGTATGAACTGTTCAGATTGTACCTTAGTCAGTTACTGGTAGACCTGTAGAGTGATCCCGATTTGGAAGTGATAACTGCTGACAATGACAGTGGAAGGTATTTTGTTACCTTGGGATGGAGATATCCAGTACTCTTTCCGTTCTTTTCATCCATTCTGCTCTTGTCATCTTCTAGATACTATTACTTCTCTTGTCTTCTCCTAGCTTTTCTCAAGCACATGACAAAATGGAATTCTGGGAAGGGTATCTTCTATTAGCAAGCAGCTGTACAGTTGCCACTTTGCAGTTAGGTGCTCACGAATTTGGCTTGTGAAACTTCATTCAATCAACTAATATTCCAGCACACTCTTTAAGCACTTTTGCTGTCAACCCTATTCCCCCTTTTTATGCTTCAACATAGGGGGAAGCAAATTGGGTGTTCCTGCGTTATATGCCTAAATTACATCTCTGACCTATGTTGGTAGGAGTTTCATTAGTATTGCCTTAATGACCATGAAAATGAAATGCCAAAAGACTGTCATAGGTGTCCCTGATATACAGCCCCATCTGCAGTAAGATGTGAAAATATCTGTGCTAGAACTGTTTAAAGAACTTTGCAGTAGTTTGCAAAGGAAGTTTTTAATTTCTAGGTGTATGTAGTTTCATAATTCCTTTATACATCAGGCATTTATTTCTGAGGACCTTAATTGGGTTTTGAAGGCATACCTAAGTAATGCAAATGAATTTTATTAATTAAGAAATCTGTGGAACATATATGTTTGAATTATTTTGTGTTCTTTGGTTTTCATGGAGGTTTTTTCCCTTTTTTTTTATTTTTAGCATACTTTGAAAAGTTCTATTTAGCACCTTGGAGAAAAATATTAAACAGCTCTGTGTTTTGTTTTTCAGTGTGCAGTGACCTGGAATTCAGGGAAGTAGCGAACAGATTGAGAGACTGGTTTAAGGCACTTCATGAAAGTGGAATTCAGAATAAGAAGACTAGGATTGTTCAAAGGCCTGAAAGAACCAGTAAGAGATTTTTACTTGTCTTATTTGATGTTTTCTTTGATTCTTTTCTACTTTGGTATTTCTGTTGCTACGACTTGCCTTATTCTCACATGATTTAAATAGGCATGTGTACCAAATCATAACTTCGGGCTTTTCTAAAGTTAATTTCTTACTTATGGCTTAGTACTAACAGACAATGTTCACTTTAAACTTCCAACATTATTTGGCAGGACAGCTACCATTCAGAATGCTTTTATTTGTGAATGCTATCAAATTGAAAGAAAAAATACAAAGGAGTGTAATTATGTGTGACCCATTGTTGCTATGTGATGCCACTGTAGGTACTGGTAAAGAAAAACACACAGAAAAGGAGCTTGTAAATAAAAAGGAATTTTCAAGGATAAACTTGAAACTGGGAAAGACTCAGGAGTACTAATGAAATGGAAACAGTAAGGGTCATAATTTGTTTTAACCCTCTCAAATACTTAAATAGTTTCTTCTGTTGTGGAAAGCAGTAAAACTTTAAGATGTGATTATCAAAGAGCTTATTTAAAATAGCAGTTGAAGTGTGCATTAATAGTTTCAAGAGTGATGTCCTACTGTGAGGCAGAGTCAAATTAGATTTGTTAAGCCATAAAACTGTACCTTTGCTTAATATGAAGAGCAAACTATGAATTCTTCCAGTGTATGTTTCACGGAACTTGGCCACCACCAGCTTCTTACTTTACTTATTTTATTATTAGCTCTTTTGAGTATTTGAAATCTTTATTTTTTATTATTTTTCTTTGCTTTTGTTTGATTGCAATTTGTGGCATTACTTTTTCTTTTTTCAAAAAATCCATTAATTTAATTTAATAGGAAATATCATTTTATTGTATGATTTGTTCATCTAAGTATGATGTAGTGCAAGCACAAAGTTCTTAAGCCTGTGAGATTTTACCCTTAGACATCTTTTTTGGCCTTTTTTCCCCAAGCACACAGATGGTATTAATAAGACCTTCAATCTATACTTGAGACAGTCAACTGTATTATGATGTGTATGTGGATATAATATACTAATTTTTTTGCCACTGGTTGGTTTGCAAATTTTTACTTTATAATAGCAATCAAGGACTGTATTTGGACTTAAGATCTAAGATTTTAATATGTGTGACTAATAGTGCAGGAGTCTCTTGAATTTTTGGATCTTGTCAGTTTTGGAAACCTTAAAGTCCTCTTCTTTGACAGTGTAAAGAATACGAATATATTTTAGAGGGTATCTGAAATTTAAGGCACAAGTTAGATTGGATCCTATTCTATCATTTTTTTGAGAGTAGAATCAAGAGTTGATTTGGATGGCTAAGAATAATCTTTGCAGAGCTCTTTTTCATCAGCAGGTAAGAAGGTGCAATCTATGTGGAAAAATCTGTTTCCTGTGCACTGCTGACTTTAAATTCCCTGTCAATATCATGATGTCAGAGATGTTTGACTTATGTTTGTATCATGGTACTAGAAATCAGAATGTTGTATGAAATACTAATTTATTCCTATCCTGATTCTAAATTAGATGGAAGTGTGATGATAGGGTTCGGCATGTTTATTTTATTTTTACTAAAACAAAGTAAATCAAATTCTAGAAAATGGTTACATATGAGACATTTAGTTTGTCCTGTATTTTCTTCTTTTCTTTTTCTTTGCAAAATTAAAAACCCACAGTGCTTCACAAAAACATTTGAACTATATAGAGACTGTTTAGAGATCAGTGTTTTAGCACTGTGGGCAGTTACTCAAACTGCATATAGCTAATTGGGAAAAAATATTGCTTTCAGATATGAAAGATTCCATTTGTGCAGTACTTACTTGATGTTATAGATAACCAATATTTACGTGATTGTATTAATTTGAGAGGCTACTGCAGAAAGGCAGTCCATCTATAGACAGAAAGCAATGGAATTAATAGATGTTCAGTAATAGTTTTTTCCTTTGCGGATTTTGAGATGCACAAATTATCTTAAAACTGGTTTCGTTAGTGCAACTATCTATTTTTTCTAGTATGTACATTTCTGTACTTCAAAATTTCTAATTTGAGGCATTATTTCCTTTTATGAGGAATTAATATGTCTGTGATTTACAAGGAAATGTCCCTGTAAACGCATAAAGAAACAAGAAATAATGATAACCATTCAACGCGGTAATGTCCTTTCTAATAATATGAGGCGGTTCTTAAAATTGTTCTTGAAGACTTAAGCTCTCAAGTAATATCCCTCTAAGTCTCTCTCCAAAGTAATAGGAGGTCAGAGACATTAGGCATATTGATACACAAATATACCAGAGCTGGCCAGCCCCTGTTTTGAGGATATCAGAAAGCTACACCTACAAATAAATCTTGCAAAGAACTTACCATGTATAATGAATTTAAACTTAGCTCATGAGGCTTAGTGGTCTGTACGGAACAATAGCTGTGACAAAAAAACCACCTGAACGCAACTTCCTCTTTCAGCATCCTAATTATTCTAGCAAATCCCTGGAGTTGTTCATTACCCTTGGGGAGTTAAAAATTTGTTTTGGCACCTTTTTTCCCAGGCTATCCTTTATTCTTGTCATAAAGTTCCTTCCTCACTGAAAAACTACATTTAAAAAAGCAATTTGTGACATCCTTTCTGCTTGTTTGTGTTTAGGATTTCTCATATTTCAGTCTCTCTGGTGGCACTTGGAACAGGATTTATTAAAAGACTTGGGCACGGTTCTTCTGACCAAGGCAGATGTGGTGCAAGTGTGTAGTGCCTTGCTGGTGTTTTTCAGAGTTGTTTCAGCTATTAAATAGTCCACATTGATCCATAAAATCATTCATATTACTTCTAAGCAAACCAAACGACAGTGTTTAAGTTGTTCTGCTGGAGCCATCAATATTTTGATAACAAGTTAAAAATGTAAGGTGCCTACGTTGCTGTGTTTTTAAAAGAATAAGGTCATTTTGTTTTACTGACACTTTTTTTTTCCAAAGCTGAATCTTATTAGTAAGTTAGACTAGAATATTTCAAAACAAAAAAAAAGGGTTTTGTTTCCAAAATCCCTTTTGTGTCTATTTGTGGTCAAATGGAATATATCTAGAAGTATCATTAACATAAATGCTATATAAAAACTTAAATCTTTTCCTCACACCATTTGAGGTCTAAATAGATGACACAAAGGGAAAAGGGATGCTTTACCTCATACTGCAATAATAACCCCATTATTTTTCCCATATGGGTAGGAAAATATGAAATTTAAAAATAAGTGACATTTTATATACCTATTTAAAGTCTATTAAAATACTGTTCTATTTCTATATTAATTTTGTGCGATAAAACACAAAATTAATGTCTCATATGCAAAGCACAAAAATTACCATAGTCCTACAAATATTTCTGCTAACAGGCAGTCTGTTTCTTAAGAATACTTGTGCACCTTGTCATGTTAGAAGATGAAAGACCAGAGGCCAAAGGTAAGAGAATCTTATGCCTTGGAAATAATATGATTATTGGAGTCTAATACACTAATAATTTTGAAAATAACATAAAAATACAAGTAGTCTGAAAATAAAATTACTTATAATTGGCTTGTCTAGAACTAGCATAGTAAGATATTATTACACTAAAATTGACAAATCCCCATACAAACTTGCAGAAGGAAAAGTCCAATTTTGTAAAGAAAGGTAAATAAAATAAGCAACTTCAGATTTTTGCTTGGAGGTTTTTATTTCCTTCTGACTTTCCTAAATTCTTTATCAATGAAGAGACAAACTGACAGTATGCAGTGATAAATTACAATTCACTGATCTTCATTGCTGAAGCATATTTGGAAATTCTGAGGTACAGACAACTTCTAAGCAGAACAATAATGTTTTTCTTACTCTTGTCGGTACTCTTCCATATACTCACTGTATAGTTATAAGAGCTAGAAAAAATTGTGGTTTTAAACAGTGTTTTTGATGTCTTCAAGATGCTGACTGCCTGGGAATTTGTCTAATTCCTGAGATTATCTCAGAAAATGTCACATAAGCTGTACTGCAAAGTTGTACAGGCTGGCAACCTGAACTATAATTCTAGTTTACTAGAAAGAAAAGGTTCTTCTAATGAATTTCTGCATGTATCAGGTTAGCTTATGCAAAGACATCCTTAATGCAAGAGTCTGGAAGAAGAAATCCAGCATAGAAGTAATTCTGATCAAGGATTTTAGTTAATTCATCTCTACTTAAAATTCAGACTCTGAATGAACAAAATCAGTATTATTGACTAAAGTTGGTTTTGACTCTGTTTTTTACAGAATTCTTCTTATACACAATGAAGTATATGTAGATGTTTATTATAGCATTTTATTTATTCCTCCTCAGATATCTTCTACTTTTCTTTAACAATCACAGCTATTAATAAAATGGTCAATTGGGTGTCCCAAATAATACATTTCATCTTAACTCTCAAGATATTAGGAAACTGATAGCCTCCAGCAATAGGATTCATCTTGCTTCCCCTTCCCTCTCCCCCTCCATAAAATTCTTTAAAACACCTTCTTGAAAAGGAGAGACTTCAGGATGCAAACTGTTGCAGGTGTTTAAAGAACATTGCAACTGTGCTTTATTTCTTCCTCTTGTACTTTTTGTTGTGAAATGAGGATCGGTTTTCCTAGGTTTATCATAATACCTTTGGTACCCCATATACCATGTTCCCCAGGGCGAGGAGTTGGTCTTCGATGATCCCGGTGGTCCCTTCCAGCTCAGGGATGGATGATTTCGTCTGTTGCCCTAACCCAGCTTTAGGCAGGTGACAGAGAGTGTTAAAGCTGTCTCCTTCTTGGGCTAGTGTGGAGCCAGATGAGGCTCACCTAGATCAGTACTTTTGTGATCAAGTATGACAGAAGGCATTCATATCTGCTTAGTCCTCTTTATTTTAGTCTGTCCTGCTCGGGTCCGTCTTGATTACATTAGGAAGGAAAACATTTTCCCAGCTTGTAGTTGGCCTGAGCTGTGTGATGCTGTTAACTGAAGATTTTCTGCAAGCCCAAATATTACAAAAATCCATTACAATTGAAAACCTTCTTGCTGTGCAGCTTGCACACTGAACATATAAAATCCATGGTCTAGATGGCAGTCAGGACTCTGGCAGAGTGCTCATGTGTTTATTCACTTGTGATTTGTTGGTGTTTTTTATTGTTTCAGAGAGTGTACTGGTATTGGAAAGAATCATGCACTTTTAGGTGTATTGGATAAACAATTTCTACATAATGCAATACGTGAGCCCTATGTATGTATGCATGCTGTTTTGGTTTCCACATGATGTCAAAATCTGTCTTCCTCATTGTACACAAGTATTTATTGCTTATATCCTTAATAAGCAGGCAAACAATAGTTTTACCTTGGAAAGCAGATTATATTTACTAAGAGTTGAAATTCCCCCCTGAGGAATAACCAGAAACAGGAGCGCTTCTGTTGGTACCTTTTGAACAAATGTTTTGAATGCCTAGTGTGTAAGCCATGGAGGAGGGCTATATTTCTTAATAATTTTTCTCTTGGGATTGTTTTGGCCGAGGAAAAGAGCTTAAGCTGGTACTTCACATTTTTCTAGACAATGTTCAGAAATAGCTTCATAAAAGTTCATCTTATTATGGTATATGGAAATAGATTTTAAATAAGTGCTTAAAATTAGAGGAAGCGAAAATCTTCTTTCATAATTTAGTCACCTGAGCAGCAGTTTTTGCTCTCCTCAGTATCATGTCCTGGTACTTCATCATCAAGAATAAATTACTATCATTCATCATACTAATCCATCCCCCTTAGTTTCTGTTTAGTGTTTTCTGTCACAACTGTGAAAAATGTCTAAAAAACCAGCATTCTAGTTGGTGCTCAAAGTGATAATATATGTAATGTGTAATTTGGACAACTAACTTGCTAGTACTAGGTCACGTGGTGATTTTTTGATTCTTAGTTCTGTATCACCTGACCCCTTCATGTGCCAAACCATGTTAGCAGATGTTAAACTCTAGGTATGTACCTAAGTGCTTTTCTGTCTCCTTTTTCACAAGTATAACATTTTCCATAGTGACAGATGTATTATTTTATCAATATTGTAAAAATGAAGAAAGTCATTGCCAAGAGAAAATACTTCTGATAATCTTTATTTTGGACAGTTCCTTAAAGATTCTTTTAAAATGAACCAAGAATTTTACTTTACCTCAGTAATCTCTAAAAGACTAGATAATGTGCACATGGAAGTGAGGGTGATGATCTTTTTGTGGTATAGAAGTTCTGGAAGAGGTGGACTACTCCATTTTATTTCAAACAAAGCTTCTATCTCTGTCAACACCTGCCTGGCTTACCTCTGAAATACTTGAGACATTTTTATTTATTTCACCAAAACTAGTATTTGACCTAGATTTCAGACATTTCTATACTGCAGTGACTGATGGTTGTGAAATAGGTTGGCTTGATAAAACAAGACAAATGAAAACTAAAAAGATATGTGATTTTTCACTATTTAAAACACTAAAATTGTGTATGCCAGAGAAGAGGAAGAACAAAAAAATAGTAAAAACAACAACAAATATGCCTGGGCTATAAAGGAACATACAAACTACTTCAGAATTAAGCTCTGAAAAAAGAAACAAACTACTTTCAAGGTAAAGCATGATCAGTTTTAGAAATTATTATATCAAACAGTTATTTAGTAGAAAGCTAGACCCCATGACCCACAGTGCTTTTTCTCCAGCATGTGATGCTATTTAATAGGTAGGTTATGACAGCTTTAATAAATGTAAGCTTTATTTTCCAGGCTTGGAAATAGCATAAAAAATTTCTTATATGAAATGTTATTGTTTAAACCAGGTTTATTAGTTCTGATGTACCAGCTATAATATATTCCTGTTTCTGGGAAGAGTATATTGTGCATATCAGACTTCAGACTCTATATTTAAATATTTAACTATAGTTACGTTGAACCTTAAGTGGATTTATTGAAAATATTAGAACATAGTGACATTTTTCTGGTGCTATCCTGTTGATATCAGAGATCTGTAATAAAATCATCTGTCTTTTAGTGATATTGCTGATTCCAATGCAATTTTTTTAATTTCAAGCTCTGTCTTTAACTATGACAAATGTAATAGAGAAAAGGCTGGTGGGACATTACTATTAGGCACACTTTTTAAAAAATCTAAAAGCTATATAGAAAGAAGTGAGAAAAAAATGAGAAATAGGAACAGAGAATGAACTCAAGTCACAGGCTAATGCTAATTAAGGGAATCAAGAAAAAAATAGGGATAAAGTCTTACACAGTTGTATAATATTGTTCCAACCTTAATTTAGTGATGCATACAACCTTTGAAACGTTCAGTGTTCTTTCACTAGTCGTCAGATTAATTTATTTCTTTTTAGAGTATGATTTGAAACTGACTGAGAAGTAAAATAAGCAGTTGTTTGGTTTTTTTCTGCTTTTCCTTGGTTTAATTTACTAAATACATAAAGCTGTCTTCTAGTGTCCTAAAATACAAAGTACTTTATGTGTGAGCTTTGCCAGCTTGGACCACAAACACTAAAAACACTTTGTCCGAAACTTGAAAGTGATACTTCTTTCAGTACATTTATGCTCAAAATTCCACGTGCAGATGTATTATCTACAATTACTTACTTTGGCCCACAAAATACACCTGAATACACCCTTAACGTGGCTTTTATATATTCCCTTCCAGCTGGCATCTTGTTAATTAAAATCTGTCTCCTCATGGTTGCTCTTTTTCTGCCCCTTCTCTTACAGTTTGGTGAGCTGGCCAGAGTGGTAAATTCAGAAAAATTTTGTGAGCACAAGAATAATTTCTCCCGTCATGCAGGTACACAAAAGGCAGGATAGGTGACAGTACGTTTTATGTCAACCTCTTTCTGAATCCAAGGTCGTGAGGAGGATCTCTAGCTAAAAGCAGGACTAGGAGAGAAAGTGTTAAGAGGCCTTCAGGAACAGAGCTTTATAGGTAAATAATGTTATACTGAATATTTAACCTTAAATAAAATTTTTTAAGATGGAGGAACCTTACAGAATTTTTCTAATCAGAAACACCTGCTGAACAATTTTGATATAATTTACAGATAAAGTTTAATAACACATCTGCTATAATATCCTTATTCATTCTGTTGGGTCCTGTATCTTGTTGCTTTTCATAATCCACAGAAAAGAAGTTTAGTCTTTACGTGTTAACAGGGGCTGGAGAGGAAGGAAGAGAGAGGTCATTGGTTGAACGCTTGGCTATGTTTTTAAATTGTATTAAATTATGAAAAATATTAAAAATATCAAATGGCTGGCTTTTTTTTTTGCTTTTTTTCTCTTTCTCTCAAACAAAATTAATAATTAATGCAACAGGTCATAAGGGAATAAGGAAAAGTGAGATCACCCTGATGAAAAGTCATAGTTAGTTCAGGATTTCTGGGGAAAGGGCATTTATGTGGTGGTCCGACTTCAACAAGGAATTTTTGATGCTATCAGCTTTCTTCTTTTACTTTCTGGAATGGTTGTTCTGCCGTAGTGTGGACATGTACATATGCAGATATATATGTAAAAGAAAATTTACTGATTTCTAAATACAATTACTGGGTTATCCAAGTTGACCTGTTTTAGCAGTATAGAAGTGCTTTACAGATTTCTCTAATGTTGTCAAAACAACAGCAAAAGCAGACAGGCTTGATTTTTAACAGCAGTAGAAATTGGGAATTCCTGTGTCCAATTATCTTTTCCATGGTCCCCTCAGAGATAGAAAGTACTCCAGATAAAGATAAAATACAACTTTCAAAGCATTGTTGAGGCTATCATGTTACTTTTTCACAGATTTAAATGTATATTAATGGAAAAAAAAAAAATAAAAACATGAACTCCAACAAGTTTTCTGGAATTTATTCTCTTCTTAGTTCTATAAACTTTGCAAACCATTTAAGTTTCAGTCTCCTGGTTTATAATATCATCTAAATTCTTTAACAGAATTGTTTTCCAGGAAATCACTGTATATAATTTATTAGCGTACATAGTGTGTATGCTATAGTTATGACATTTGACAAGAAAACTTGTATTTCTAAATGCTTTGAGACCATTGATGTGATTAATTTTTTTAGCAGGTTAATTTAATGACTTTTAAATTGAATCTGACATACAATTTATATGTAGTATTTCAGTAGCCTGCACTGTGTATGTACTGTATCTGTGTACCACCAGAGCTGTTCCCGTGATGCTGCATTCTTTTGGGATGGCTAAACTCAACAGCTACTCTGTCTTTCTTAGTATGTAATTTTTATTATTTCTGTTTTACCTCTTAGGATTTGATACCAGCATTTTGCCAATTTGCAAAGACTCCCTTGGCTGGATGTTTAATAGGCTTGATACGAACTATGACCTGTTGTTGGACCAGTCGGAACTTGGAAGCATTTACCTTGACAAGAATGAACCATGCACCAGGGCGTTCTTCAATTCTTGTGACACATACAAAGACAGTTTGATATCTAACAATGAGTGGTGCTACTGCTTCCAAAGACAGCAAGGTAAAAGATGAGAACAAGCTGCATATGTATATGACTGACCTTTTTGTTGGGCTTCATCTTTTTTTTAACATATTAAGAAGATTACAGTAAACTACAAGCTCTTAAATGCTGTACAATGAATTTGTGCTAAGGTTTTTGACCTATGGTGAATACCTAAAGTGAAATTAAAAAATCACAAACAAACAAACAAAAAACCCCAACCCAAGCTAAATGGAAACGCTTGCTAAAAATTCAAGTATTCTAAATAAAGTGCAAAACAGCAACAAATGCTTTTACAGCTATATTGTTCCTTGTGCCAACATCCAGTACATATGTAGAGGAGAGAGATCAAAATAAAGAACAAAATTACTTAAATTAGTTCTTTCACAGTCTACTTTGCCTACATTATAAAATAAACTTTTTTTATTGCTAATGTAGAGTATCTTAATGTTCTGTGAACCTAATAAAATAGCTGAACGAACATTATGGATAAAGTTATTTCCAGTCATTTGGACCTAAAACCGGTAGATTTTTATTGCCTAGTTAAATATCTTGTTAATGTTCTGATGTGATTTGGTTATACAAATAAACATGACCTATAAGCATTATTTCCTGAGGAGTATAAAAAATTTTAGACGTAGGTGAGACATCATATAAATTATATGATCAAACTAGTTATAATGTATCAAGGAATTTACTCATTAGATATTGTCTAAAATTGGTCAGAATTGCCCCTTCATTTTCTTACTAACATGAGGGAGTTTTTTTAAAGGATAAATAGCAACCAGGGTTTAAATTTCTTCTGCCAGTAGAGGAGATAAAACTGATTTGGTGGAAAGTTTGCAAAGGCAATTCAACCTTTTTGAAAATTTTAGTATCAGTTTTTAAATCTCACTTATGCCCTTAAAACTCTCATAATAAATTCCCATTAGCAATCAACATGATTCTGATTTCTGTGGAAATAAAGGTTTTTATCATGCCACATCTACTAGTTTTAAATCTATATAAAAATAAAGCTGTACTTCTATAGATAAATACTGAATAGCAGATTTCTTTTCCTTGGTAAATTTCTAGTTATAAAGTTAACATTTAAATTTTCAAAATGCCTTGTTTGTTTCATAGTAGAACAATAATTTTGGCTTTTATCTTATAAGCATGTATGTGTACTGCTAACAAAATTAGCAAATTAAAAATAACCCATCCCAGAAGTAAGGTAGTTCTTAAAGAACATAACATGTTTTGTTCAGTTGTCTTTAAAATAAAAAAAACTACCACCACAATAATTTCAGCTTAATATATAAACAACCTTACACTTTGGAGAGCAGCGTAATTCTTTTTAGTTGCCAGAGGAAGTACAGCACATAATATGTGGCCAAGGTTTTTCTACCAATTTTATATCATGTATGTACTACATAACCAGGGCATTAAGAAAACCCTTCCATAGATTAGTTTCAGGTAGTTTTGCTTTCTATAGCCTATAAACTCATCTTGTCTTAAATATTTGCTCAGCATACAGCTAGAACTTGAGGATGGTATTGTAAAGACTGCTCTATATGCTGCAGAATGTTATTAATGGTATGCCAGCAGATCCGACTTTCAGTGACACTGATTCTCCACATTGCAGAATCCAACATTATCAAGCTTTCCTTCCCTTTTTTACCAATTTCCTTGCTGTCTTGATAATGGTGTTGAGATAAGGCGCTGATTTTAAATAGATTAGATAGCCTTTGATACTACAGTGTACGAGCATATAGTAAAAAAGATGTGTCCTCAACATTGTAAATGAAGTGAAATGTCAATTTCGGCAATCCTTGCAGATTAGACATGCCCTTCATCCTTCCAAATTAGCGCTGTCATCAAAATCTGTATTCTCCTTTTTAGGTGTAAGGAGAAAAAAGAAGCTTATCATCTTATTTTTCATGTCTTATTATTAGCTCTTGCACAACGGTTTGAGTCCTAACTCCTGGTATTAGTAACCCACTGAATTCTTTATTCATAGTTTGCAGTGTTGTGCTAAAACCTTGGAATATGTTCATGTTTGGTTATGTTTTACTTGATTGAACAATCTAAATAAGGCCTTTAACTAAGCCTTTGCTATTAATAGCAAAGGGATGGCAAAGTAGAGAAATTCAGTGGCTTCTTTCTGATGTTTATTAAAAGAAGTTGATATTAACAGAATGCTTCAAGCCATGCAGAGCAGCTCCCTGTATTCATTGAGCTTAGTAGCTGCTTTCTGGGCAGATCAACGGTTTTACAGCAGTGTTCTTGATTAACAGTGTTCAAAAGTGAATACAAAACTTAGTCAACAATATGTATCAAAATGGGATAGCAATTTCATTGTGCTTTTTGAAAGCACATTGTATTGCTTAAGTCATTATCCGAGAAGCCCTCATGGTCTTTGATCTTAGCTTCATGATGCAAGACAGTCGGGATCAGACAAGTACTTGCACCTCTTCTTCATTCTTTCTTTCTACTTGAGATATGCCATGATGCATTACACTACACTAGACACATTACTGCACATTGCTCACAACTTCTAGTCAATATAAGCAACTTCCTATGAAGTCAGATCCTTCTTGTGGAGAAGATGATCTTCCTATAGTAGCTGTCCTGCCTTGACTAATGCTTAAATACTTACATACATCTCAGTGATGCTCATTGCATTTTTTCTTGTCTTATTCTACTTTAAATGTAGTTTAGTATTTCTGAGATATATCCAAGAAACTATAATGCATTTCTGCAATACTTTAAAATCTGCACTTTTCTGGTGCTCTTTGCAAGTCTTCCTGTGTGCTTTGGTTGCTATTGCCCTCAAGTTTCAACAACAATTCATGTAAGTGCTTCAGTGCCCATCTCCAGAACTTTGTTTTCTTAGTTGTTTGATGCTAATTTGTCACTTTAGTGCTTGCCTAAATGCTGAGGCCTTTGCAATGTCAACCTTTTAATAGGTTGATTTTTTTTCTGCCAGTAATTCATTATTATTGTAGCGTTGCTTTGTTGCATCACTGAATCAGAGTAGCAGAGTACCCAATTCTACTGGGAATAATTGTGCTTAGCACCTAAGTTTTTTTTTTACTGCAGGCCTCTGCATGAATCTGTTAGTCCAGCACTTTTCTAGGCAGATTTTCTTACAGGCTCTCTGTCTGTCATGCCTAGAAAACATCATCATGACTAAAAACAGTCCATCTTACAGATGAATAATAATTATCATGATTCATATTTTTTAGTCTTCAGATTGCAAGGACTTCAAATATATTTATAGATGGTTATAAAGGAAGGCGTATCAAGATAAATGATGATCATAAATGAGATCCCCTGAAAGAATTCTTGAAGTCTAGTGTTGATGCTTCTGATCCCTAAAGTAAAAGCCTTGGATGTCCAAGAACAATTACAATGCTTGACCACAAGCACAGGCAAGACATAACAAGGCAGGCTGTCTGCAGTGGACCATGTTCCAGAACCTAGGGCCTCTGCCAAATATTACCTGCTTGATATGTGGAAAATCACTGTTTTGTATTTGAGTAAGATGGAGAATCTTGGAAAGCTGGAGGCTCACTGTGAAGATAACAGCTCCTTCAGAAGTGTCTGTAAAAAATGAAAGACATTCTTTATAAAATCTACCAGTTTTACTCCAGTTGCTCTGTTAATGTGCCATTTTGGTAAACCAAAGCTTAGTTGTGCTATCCTGGAAGCACCTCTTGACACGACTGGATATTGATGTCTCAAGGGCAGTATTAATAACATGGGATACTCTGGTGTGCATGAGTACTTTTAGCACTAAAGAACTGTGGATGGCTGGTGTTACATGGTTCATGAATCACTCATAATAATGCAGTGATATTATCAGAAAGACAATTACTGCCACATCTATGGAAGTAGATTAGGGATGAAGATAATTAGGTACATTGTTTGTATTCAGGTTATCATAAAGACTGATGTCAGATTAATTGCTATTCAAAGGAAGCCACCACACTGATTTTTGTAAAGGAATTTTTTCTTCTTGGCTCAGGACTGCCAGAAGTTGTCCTGTGACTCTTCTTTTTTCTTGAAATAAATTCAGAAATCTTAAAGAAAGCTTTTCAAACTTAGGAACTAACTGGAAAATAAAGAGGGAAGCACTATAATTTGTGGAACGAAGAAAAAGGATATGCTATAGACCAAAAGGAGATGGTTGAACTTCTAGCCTTCTCTTTGACAGTTTTTAACAACAGAGTGATTTAGTATTGTTAAGAGTTTTTGCTGCTTTTATCTTGAGAAGCAAAGCTTAAATGTGAATCTTGAAGACCTAACTTCTGAGAAGAAGAGAGTTTTGGGTAAGTAACTTTCTCATGTTGCCATGTTACCTCTTGGTTAGTTGTATTCCTTTTTGTAATTATGTAACCAAAGATTTTTAGCTGTAAATGAAATTTTTTTTTTCTTTAGGCATAGTTGATAATTTTTTCTTTTCCACATGTTAGTGCTCATGTGTTTAGATCTGTGTTTCTGATTTAGGATTTTTTTCCATAGAACAAAATAAGTGTATTTTTCCTGTTTGACTAGTTCTTCTCCTTCGGTATATTTCCCATCTCTTTGGAGGATAGGATAGATTAGGCTAGACTAGACTAGAATAGAATAGTTGTAAAAGGTTCTGTAACATAATCCGACTGTTAACCTAACGCTGCCAAATCCACCGCAGTCCTAGATCCTTCTAGCCTATTGATACTTGTGTATTAAATTACTGTCATTTATTAGATTAATGATTAATGGAAAATACCTTTGTTTTAAGAAATAATTGATCCTCAGAATGTTGTAGAATTAAAAGTTTTAACTCTTTAAATATCAGGAAAGGCAGAAACCTTAGTTTTGAAAAGTAATGAACATCTCTGGCAAATAGCGATCATGATCATCATCAAAGCACTTCTTACAACAACAAAAAAAAAAACTTTATGTAGCCTCAGCAAATACTCAAAGACTAAATTCTTAAAACCCAGTACCCACCCAGTGATGTGAAATCCCAGTGATTTTTCAAGAGCACACACAGAAAATTGGTTGGTTGTCTGGAAGGACAACTCCTGAAAATTTGTTTTGACACTGAGACTCCTGTGGACAGTACTTTGAAAGTGGAGCCTACTTTTAAAGTCTTAACTCCAAAAAGAATCATAATAGATTTAGTGTGTAAAACCTGGCCCACTAGAGTTGAGGCCACTGGAAATGTTTATAAGCTTCTTTAAATGTATTGGATATGTAAATGATATATAAAATGTAGAGCCAAGAGAAATTAACAACCTGCTGTCGGTAAGGGGCTATTATGGTCTTCTAGTTTTTATTTACTCTCTTAGGAAAGAGCTCATGAATAGTACCAAATGCCAGCCAAAAGGCTCTGTGTTTACCAGGAATATATTTTTGATCTGCAGTTCGTCTAGGCATTTTTCACCAGAGTGCCCTGCAGGGACTGGGTTCTGGTCATATGTGTGTTCTTCATCAGTAAGCTAGGCCAGTCTTACTCATCTTTAAACTAGCTCAGAAGGCTTTTTTTTGTTTGCATGGAAAAAAAGGGCGCCTACGTGGCAAAGATGTATTATAAATTGTCGGAGTCTGCCAAAATGTAAAATGTATTTAATGTATCTAATGCATAGAATATGAGATTTTGTGTGGGAACAGTATAAGCTAAAGACATGTGAGTAAAATCAGTAATACAAATGCTGATTCAGAATGGGACATGCTGTTGTGCTAATGGTCTAATGTAGTACACCATGTCAGTGTTCAGAGATTAATTAGTACTTTGTTGTCTTTGATTCTTTCATGTATTCAACAGTAAGGTATATACATTCACATCTTATTTTCTTCCCATTCATGGGGCATACTGTGATTTCCTTTTATGGACAGTAGAAAATTAAAGTTTTCAGAACTGGATTAGGCTATAACTGAAGAATGGAAAACTGAATTTTAATACCTATTCTACCTCTTAGAGCCATCCACATTTTGACCAACATTTTTAAGTTGGTTTACTGAACATGGGGCTTTGTATCTTTAAGATCCAGTCTTAAAGTGTTGCCATAGAACCACAATCTTGCAAACTTCCAGTGAAGTAAAAAAATATTTATTTTCTTAGTGTATTATGTGAAATAGAAAACTTGGACATGACTTCTAACAAGGACAAAAGGGAAGAAATTGAAAGAACCATCCTTTTTCTAAGCAGTACATGAAGCAAGCTTCATAGTTGCATTTTGATTTTTGTGGACTGATCAAATAACATGTGATGGACTTAATACTTTGGTCTAGCATTCCTTGATCCTCCAAACTAGTGACTAATGCTCACTTAGAGATGAGTTAACTGGGAGTGGTCTTCTGCACAAATGCATGGTGGTGTGCAGATTCATAATTCTGGAGCTGTAGCAAGGTGCAGTAATTCTTTCATTTCAGATGTGTGTGTTTCTTAAGATCAGTAGTTAGAGTGACCGTAAAGTGTTGTAAACTGTGAAAACTTAGTCCTATGCTTTCTGTCCTAGATACAGTGTAATCTGTTTAACATTTTTATGTCGTTTTAGACCCACCTTGCCAGACAGAACTCAGCAACATTCAGAAGCAGCAAGGAGGAAAGAAGCTCCTAGGTGAGCCATAGATCATTCTTTTGAAGGTTTTATTGCTTACATAAATAAGCCTAGTGAAACAGCAACATAAAATCAATATTAATCCAGTGAAGATAGACCGCAGTAAATTTCAGCTACGAAATTTATGAAATTTTTGAAAGCTATTAAACTTAGTTTTATTACCTTACCTACCAAAAGATCTTACATCTGTTTTATTACCCTGATAGAAGGTACGTTTTCACAGTTATAGAGGGGACAGTCTAAGGCACTCCTAAATTAGTGTCTGTGCTGATCCTTTGACTGTAATATTCTTTAAGTAATTGAAATCTTTGCTGTAAATCAGCTTATACTGTATCAATATTACTGAAGTGTAAAATCTTCCTTTTACCATTAGCCACTGTATAAAAGCTGCAATAAAAGGCTTGGCCCAAAGCAGTCAAAACTGTATTTCTGCTAAGGATGATTTCTAAAAAGAACTGTACACTTTCACATGAAAGTGTCCAAATGAAAACCAGTGGATTGTTCAACCTTAGGCAAGTCACTGCCTCACAAAATAAGTCCCTCTTTTACGTATAAATGCAAATTTAACATTGATTTTTTTTACAGTTGGTGGTGGTGTGTTACAATGCATTTGTCTTCTGTGGTGAAATAATTAAATATTACTATGTAACTAAGTGGTTTGTAAAATACATATTAAATACAATTAACTTCTTTTAGCAAATTGTTAGTCCAGGAAGCCTGGCCCTTACTATTCAGACCTCTTTGTACTCCGCAGATGATAAAACTTCCCATTCAGGAGTGGTTTCTACATTTGAGCCTTTTCCCCAGAATACAGTGAATATCTTGACCAAGGCATTCAGGAAGAAAGGAATATGTGTCACAGGATCAACAAAAAATTTAAAGGAAGATTGCTCACTTTATTTCTTGAAATCAATCCAAGACTGCTATGTGTTATTTTCCCTCCCACATTTGATATACTGAGTCACTTTCTGCTAACTGAATTTAGTAAACCAGTCAGTGTAGAGTCTGGAATGATGAAACAGCAAAAGGTAGTTGCTTTCCGCTATAATTGTTATGTTGGCCAAGGGGCAGATTTTAATACACTTATTTACTACATATCTATGTGTCGCAGGGCAGTACATCCCCTTCTGTGATGAAGATGGGTATTACAAACCAAGTCAGTGCCATGGAAGCATAGGGCAGTGCTGGTGTGTTGACAGATACGGTAATGAGGTAACAGGATCCAGAACAAATGGTGCAGCAGAATGTGGTAAGTTAAAAACCCTTTGTGGTGTTTGATTTAGAGGTGCTATTCCCTTTGATTGCCAACCAGGTTAAATTTCTTCAGTAAGAACAGATGTGGGACCCAACTACATGGATTTTGATGCAAAAAATATCAGTGCATAATTTGTTATTGTTATTACTTCATTATTTTTTGGAACTTCTGTCACTGGGGTCAGCTATTAATAGACCCCTTATACGTGCTTGGCATATTTGATTAAAAGATGAAAAAAAGTATTTCTCTTTTTTTTTTTATATAGTCATATATGACTCCTTTTCACTTCTTCTGCAACAGAAGAACATAGCCTGAAGCAGAAAGTAAATTGAACACAGTATCTGAGATACAAGCTCAGGCCTATTGTCCATCTGATCCAGGATCCTTTCTAAATAAATGGGCAGTTTGATAGATATGTAAGAACTGAACAGTAGTCGGTAGTCCTTACTGTCATCTGCAAGTTGGACTTAATTTTTTTCAGTTGTTCCTAGCATTCATTATAGTTCTACAAATCCGTAAAATTTGTCTCCTTTTGTTAACATTGAGAAATTCATTAACTTTTGAAATTGATTTCTTTTATGACAAAAAAATCTTCTTATTATTTGTATTTTATTTTTATGTCACACGTTGTAGTTCTCCTGGAAGTAAATATTCTGGTGTGCCTTTTGTATGCTAATGTAAAATATACTATAAATATGTAGTGTATCTTGTGAGTCTTTTCTATAACTATCATACCTTTTTAGCTGTCGATTTAGAGACTTCAGGTGATTTTGCCTCTGGCGATTTCCATGAATGGGCAGATGATGAAGATGATGAAGATGAACTAATGAATGATGAAGATGAAATTGAAGATGATGATGAAGATGAAGGAGATGATGATGTTGATGATGACGATGATCATGATGGATATATTTGATGATATTAGAGGGTCCATGTATTGTACCTTTCTAAGTTTCATGAGATGACATTTCATAAAATCCCTTTGCTCTCCGTGATCAAAAGGGTACTAACAAATATGTATATTTTGTATGATTATTTCAAACATTGCAGCTGGAGTCATAGACTTTTTTCTTTAAATAAGAATAATTATATTATGTGCTTTTGAGTTTTTAAATGCCATAGCGCTGAAGAAAACATATTGGGAATCTAGCCTGAAGACAAAAATGTTACGTGCTACTGAAAATATAAATGTGCAAAACACAGTATAAAGACAACCATTCTCTTTAAAACTCTGGTGAAAAGATATTTGCCCTTACTTGGAACTGTGCATGTCCTCTTCAGAACACATACCATAACTCAACTTCAGTTCTGTCAGTGTTTTAGGCCTTGAAGTCTTTGCAGGTTGTCCATTTTATAAATCAGAATTGTATTGCAGTAGAAAAACCTTGATGCACAAGTAGCATCTCACCAGCCTTTAATTAACCAAAGTTATGGAGAAAAATTATCAGGAGGGAAGACTAAAACAAAGTCCTCCTTTGAGTTTGCATTTGTAGTTACATTTTTATTAGGGGATGGCTAGATTACTGAAAGAATTTTTCAAAAGCAGTAGCATGGACAAGCACCAATTCTGTAATTCTAAAATTTTCTTGTCCTTATTTTTTTTTCTTTTCTTCATGTCAGGACAGTATAAGCTTTATCATTATTTACTCAAACACTGTTTCACCCTTTGTTGTTTCTCTGTATTTCCCTCTAATCCTATTAGCATAAAATACTTACATGGGGAAAATGATTTGCTTAAAATTGTATTACCTTTATACATGACTGTATTTCAGAGTATTGTCACTTGACCCAAGGTAGTTTTTAATAAATGTATAATGATGTTTTTTATTTTCTTAATTCAGGAAATAGTTTCACTTTTTATCTTAATTCATGTTGTTTTCTGTTACTAGTGCAGAAACTTAGAGAACGTATTGTAAAGGTGCCTTGCAAAATAGAAATAGAGAGGTTTTAGCATGCATACCAGTATAGGATATTAGGCAATAGGTAAGCACACCCAATTACCAAATTAATACCAGTATAGGTACTGCTGCTGGAATGAAGAAAATGGATTATTTTAATTTTTTTCCTATTATTATGTAATTACCATGTGGACTAGATTATACTTATTGTGTAGAGTAGCACTTAAGATTTGACTGTAGAGAAAATTACTTTAATCACTGTATTTATGTTAGCATGTTAATTAATTGTGTAGACATTTTGGGACTCCATCATCTTAATTCATATCCTATCTGTTGGTTTTTGCCCACAATAAAATTGACATGACCTGTATAATGTGTTACTACAGGTTGTAGTTTGAAAAATGGATCACTGGTTTCCCATTGTTTATTAAAAGGAAAATCAGTTTCTTATTTGAATTAATTTCTACACATTAAATACTAAATCTAATGTTTATTCTGTGTAATATTGAAAAGTATAATGCATTTTCTTTTCTACTGTTTCTGTATAGTTTGCAAAATAAAGACTGTTGTAACCAACCCAGTATAGCCCATTATTTTGACTTTTTACGTAATCTGAAATTTTAAATCGGCAAGAGTTCCATGTTTCAGATACATTTTATCTATTAAAATATGTATTTATTTGAATAAAACCATTTATTAATGTTTTATTTCCATTAAGAATATTTGACTAGGGCAAAACTCGTAGCAAGCTTTCGTTTTTCTGTAATTTTCTTGTTTTTTCTATGGCTTTGTTATGTACTTTTATGACATTGTCTTCATTATATAGTAAAGAGAGATATTTCTTTTCAAGCTCTGTCATAATTTGTGGGGCATAGTTGTATTATTTTCTTAAATAAAAATAGTTAAGAGTTTACGATTCTGATAGTGGGATTTTGTTAGAGAACAGTTTCTTAGCACTGAAATTAACTGATATAAAAATTGATTTTAAATAAAGAAGCTAAAGAAAAAGCGTTGTCATTATTGGCTGATGCAGCAAGTACTGTTCTGGAGGGTTTTTTTATGTGATAAATGGTCATTAGATGACAAACTAAAAATGCATTTCGTTAAAACTTGTGATATTAGGAAAATTAAAATGTGGAAAGAAAATTCATAATATCTTTAGTCTAATAGGATTGCCGTATGAAGACCTTTCTGAAAACAACTGTCATGCAGAAGAGCATGAAAGTAGTTTATATTCTTTCTTCCCTGAAAATTCCCCACTGAATTGGAAGAAGAGGGAATATGCATGCATTTCAGTCCCTGAGCATCAAAGCTATCTATCATAAATTCACAAGTAAGTTAAGATAGCTAAATTTACTAAAGAACAGGGACAATGGAGCTTTGGGATAATTTTGGTCATTTTTGTGGTCTAGAACTAAAACAACAACAACGAACAATTGAATTATTGCTCATTCATGAGGAAAAACCAGAGAAGATTGACAGTGTAAGTCTTCCTTTGAAAAGATCCTTTCTTTTTTTAAAAAATAGGTAACTGTCTATGGATTAATACTATGGCATTGCTTATCTTTCATAATACCAGATGAAGTGGAAACCACTGAAGCATTAAAGAAATGCAGGAAATCAGGAACGGGTAGAACAAATAAAGGCAAAGGCTGGTAACATAAACTTACTAAATACCTAAACCATTCAGAAGCTTTTTCCTTTTTTCATTAAAGGCAAAAATTTGCACAGACATCTGTCCTCATGACTGCAGTCATGCAGAAAGCAGTAGGGAGCCCTTGACTATTTTTATATTGTCGCAGTCATTTGTTGCTTTTTTCTTGATCTTGTAGTTCTGCACATGTATTTATAGATATGCAAACATAGTGGTATAAATTTGGAGATTTTCAGACACAGTGATTAATCCTTGTGCTCTTCTAAGGATGTGTGGAATTATAAATCTCAGTTTCATTGAAAAGTAAGAATACCAACCTCAGTGCAATAAATTATGTTATAGTCTTTGAAGGGAATATTTCAGGTCAAGCCACAGATATGCTTAGTTTAAAAGCAAATGAATGAGTGTCATTAGTTTGCTTATACAAAAAACTGGATTATTGTACAAGACTGAGGAAGATGGACAGACCATACCGATAGTAGAAAGATTTTTACCTGTTTTGTGCAAGTGGACAAGAACTAGATTTCCTTTAGTATTATTTTAAAAATCCAGTGCCCAGGTGGAATAACAAAAGTTTTTCAGGAACTGGATTAATTTTGTGCTTCATAGGAAATTAAAAAATACCTATATTTACAGATTCTTTATTAGAGCAGTGTATATATTTCTAATTACTAAAGCTTTTGAAAATTGGATTTAAATAAAGCTGTGGCAGCACAAATTTATTTGAAATACAGTAATCCTTTTTACTGTTTTTCCACTAATCCAAATATATTAGTCGCAAATCATTGACAATTTCATTTCAGTTAGTGCAGTGGACATTAAGGTAGTTTGTCAACAACTTTCTCTGTGAAGAAAGAGATTGGAATTAACATGAGGAAGAAGATAATGTATTGGAAGAATCTTTAACTTAACCAGTTACCACTGGGTGAGTAATTAAAATATCAAGTTTTAAAAAACTCAGCCCACTCCTGAAGGCAAGTACAATACTGGACATGCTAAATTGATAAAGTAACCCTTTGTTATGACTAGATTGCTGCTAACACAGTGTCACTGTACTTGCTGTAGAGGGTGGGTGCACTTTGCTAATTTGTTAATTCATCCACTTAAATGGCAGTAGAAATTACTCTTTGAAGTCAAGGAACATAGCAAGAATGGGAAAAAGAGTTACCTTGCCTAAAAGATGACATCTCTGCTTGAATTTTTTGTTGTGTTTCAGGTGCTAACTGAACCAAATCCTGAAAAAGAGACTTCTGCACTGTATCTGTCCTCTTGAAGGTGAGTTTTACAAGTGAAATGTGTGTGTCTATTTTTAAAGAGAATCTTCATATTTTAATGTTAGTAATAATGCAAGACATTTTACATCTTTTCACCATCTTTCCATAAAACTCCGTAGAAAAATTTGATTAAAACCTCAGACAGGGATATGTACAAAACTCATGCTTGTGCCTGTAACAATTTTTAACCAAGATGGTTGAAATTCATCACTTAAAATCAAGATGGACAGGGAGATTGCCAGTTCTTCCCCTCTGTCAGTAACATTCACAGCTGCTTTCTATATTCTTGGAGTATTCTGCAGTCTGCTGAATTTAAAAAAAAAAAAAGTATTAATACACATCCTTCCAGCTCTGGTCATCATATCATTATCCTGCTCATCAGGCAAATGCAGTTTTGAAAGAACCAGCGGTACCGAGCACAAAGCACTGAAGATCTGCCGTATAGGTCTTGCTATTGACAGCAGGTACTCATTTTTAGGAAGACTCTCAAATTCTTTTGCCTTGTCATAATTTATTTACTTCACAGACTTTAACATAGTGACATGTGATGGTGAGGTTAAGTTGTCTGCTGGACTTTGGTTTCTGTGAAGAAGAGGAGGTTAGATATCTTTTGATGTAAATGTAATGCTTCTGATTAATTTCCATGTGCCTGAGGAGCTTGGAGGGCACAAGAAGATTTATCAAATTTGGGGTGTTAGAATAGAGTAGTGGTTATCAAAATACTTTGTTAATTTTGTTTGAAAGATAGCAAAGGTAACTCAGCTTTTCTTTTCTTTCAAAAAACACCCAGCAATAACAATCTATAGGGAGAGTCCAATTTTGCAGCCATAATGCCATGATTCTTTTTCCTTATTTTTTAGGAACAATGCAGTTCTTGAAAATGTACTGTAATTCAAAATTGATCGGGTTTGAGCATTATGCAAAACTTCTTCAGGGCTTGTTCAGTTTTATTACACTTCCGTAATAAATTCCATTAATGCACATTAATTCCATTGTGATGCATTGATATTAAGGAATCGAAACATGCTTTAATTCAAAATCTGTTGGGTGAAGTTGTTTATTTGTTTGCTAATGTAAGCATTCATTATTAAAGGAAACAAAACCTTGAGATGATTTTACAGATGCCATCAGTATAAATCCAAGCCAAATCCCCCAAAGTAAAAAATTACTGTAAAAACTATGTTTGGTTCCTAGGAGGCATACATTTTAAAATTGAGGTTGAAATGGTTAAAACTGTCTTAAGAATTCTTATTGCTCTAACATCTGTGGC